TACTTTGTGCTTTACATGACAGTCAGAACAACCAAACATGTTTAGTTGGTTTTGCTCCCACTATGAACTATTTTACTATTATATTTATAATCTACGCTTGTACGGATGCATTTAATAGTAACAATAAAACTTGCGATATAATTCGAGTTTAACGCCCCAGAAAGCTGAATACAACCGAAACTTCTATTTGAAAAATGAATGTACGTAATCAAATTAGTCTGAATTCAGTTGTTGACCATGATTCATGGGAAGGCGTGCAAAGAAGTGAACAGTAGGAATGAGAGAAAGAAAGAGAGATAAGGAAAAAGAATAGGCGAAAGAAAAAGTATTAAAGAACACAGAAAATGAGAGGATTAGAGATAAAGAGAAGGTAATAAATAATAACAAAACAACGAAAGCTACAGATTTGTCAAGTTTGAATGTTTGGGTTAATTTGTCAGTTCAATTGCCTACTGTAGAAGTATTCATCTAGAAAGTGATACTTAAAAGCTTACAGTGGTCACTCAAATGGTATATACATACAGAAATTTCAAATGAGATCAGTTGAGAATACCTTTCCAAAGTTAGTAATTACAGGTGTATGATTAACAAATAGAGTGAGATCCAAGCGCTCGGTCCAGGTGTAAAACCCTAATCCTTTTCTTGAGTTAATCTGAGATAACGAAGGTCATCTACCGAACAGTCTTATTTCTTACCATTATTTCTGGGATATTGAAACTTTTGGGGCACATAATAAAGAAGGAAGTCTTCGAGAATTTGGTACTCCCAAGAACTGGCGGGCTGGCCAGGGTGTTAACTTGCCCTATGGCAAGTGGATCCCTGATGGAGCGGGCTCCCCTATATCAAATGAAAATGCGAAAAAGAAACACAGCCAATTGTTTCAGTAATAAAAATATTCGGACTGTTATCCTCAATGTCATATTCACAACGTTTCGGTAATTATACGCTCCGGACTTCTTCAGGTGATTGCAATTTAAAACAGATGACTTTATTTCGTCCACCGGGGTAGATTGTTCTAGTTCCACGTGTCATGCCTCTTTCGGTTGTCTCCGTTCTTTTCCTTTAACTCAACTCTCCATGTTCTTTGTTCACCACTGCTGGTGTGGCCTGGTATTAAACTCACAACTCATTGGGTCTAGTCACTGGATCTAATCAACGCCTTTATCTACCGGACCATGTGTCCTTGAAAGTATCAGAGCATTCATTTCTAGGGCATAAACCTAATGTCTCAGCAACCATTTTTACCAGTGCTCATATTGTAATTTTTCTATTATTACTGCATATTTTTTTACCAGAGCTTATATTAGAGTGACTAGACCCAAAGAGCTGTGAGTTCAATACCAGGCTACAGCAAACCAAAAAATTGGAAAGTTGAGTTAAAAGGAAATAAAAAAAACATTCGGAAGAGGCATGACACATGGAACTAGAACAATCTATCTTGGTGCATGAAATAAAGGATTCTGTTCGAAATTCCAATCATCCGAAGAAGGCCGGAGCGTTCAACGGCCGAAACGTGAATATGGCAATGAAAATGAGGATAACAGTCTGAATAATGTAAGTAATCATAATACCCCATCTCAGAGATATAGACAGATAATAAAAAGGAATAAAAACTTTATAAAGTCATCTGCACGCTATCAGTTACTCAAGTTCAATGTGAGAGGATATTTTCAAAGCTAAAGATCATAAAGAGAATGTTAAGAAATTCGCTTGACTGAGAAAAATTTGGAATCATACATGAAAAGTAATTATTAGTTGAATTGGATGCAGAAGCAATTACTAGCGGATTCGAACAATCACCTAGTAAACAAACGATTGTTCTTAATAAAGTGGACTGCATGCAATACCCTATTGTGCTTTTGCACTATCAGTTAATGTGTAAATTGTACAGTAAACTATTTAAAAATATCAACCAATTAATAAAATTCAATTATAACATTCTGTATTTACATTTGGTATTTGCTGCCAGTAACATGTATCGTACATGTACACTGTAATTATTGAGAAATACGTTCTTTTTCTCCAAAAATTTTAATTGTACCTTTCTTCAATATGTATTTTTGCTAATTTTATTAAATCATTATGAAAATTAAATGATAGCATTTTAGTTGTGGGCGGACATTTTTGTCTCATGGCAATCAATATTTTTAGACCCTGTCCGGCACTGCTCTCATGAAGTAAGAGGATTGATTTGATTGGTTTGTTTGTTAAACAGCATATCAACTACTTATGGGTAATTTAATGCCGGAATTTAAATTTCATGGGAGCTTTGAAGTAATAAAAATATATTATTCTGCTCTCACAATTGAATACATGGTAGATGATACTCAGCTTTTGTGCATATAAATGTTTATGTGGACATAACTATTAGAGGCGGTGATATGTGTGTTTAATGTTATAGCTTTGTTGAAGATATATTTTAAAATACAGTTTGATTTAATAAATTGCAGGGTATTATATGGATTAATCTTACGAAAGAGTTCTTTCATACTGGTTGTTTGGCAGATTTTGTTTGGCGGTATATCAACATTTCTATGGGTCATTTAATGGCGAAATCTAAATATTTTGTACATAATTTTATGCTTTCAAAGTAAAGGTATGTTTTTAAATATATATTTTATAGATCATAAAATGTATTTTTAGGGATTTTACTATATATATATATATATATATATATATATATATATATATATACACACACACACATATATATATATATATATATAGTGTTGCAGTGATTGTCATTTTGCTATAAAAATATATTGTTGATCATTTTATTATAAAAGTGTAATGTTTGGGGGTTCACTATTTGCGAATAGCTGGGACCCTAATTGGTTCTGCCAACCGAGTCAGGGTGGACCTGGGGACAACAACAATTAAGAGGTGGTTCTACGCTCCTCGAAACATCCAATCTCCAAATCATAGGCCTTGCTGCCAGATGTAATTTATCGTCATACTCAGGACGAGGAAGCAAGAGGGACATAGAAAAACAGTGAGTAACCTACCTAACTAAATGGAGGGGAGAACTGAAACTGGGAGGAATAGTAAGGAGACAAATATTACTTATAGCTAAAAAGGATAAGAAGTTGTGGAGAGCCATGATCACTACGTCTTGAAGGGACACGAAAAATGAATCATTTAATTGAACTTATGTATGGTAATTATTCGCGAAATCCATAATACTCAGTATGCACCAATATTCACGCTTATCCTATTTACAAATACAATGAAAGATTAATGACTGATCGAATAACAATGTGTTTAAAGACAACCGCATCTTATGGGTTCGTTATTCAGCCTATAAACAACTTAAAGCCACTTAATTAAATAACCATAGCCTGTCTGGTTCTAGATGATCGACACCTCTACTCCAGTTCTTCAAGGAAAAGGAAAAATTCGCTTTGTGGAGATTGTTTCTTCTTATTCATTTAAACTAATTTTCAAAATCGTAACTTTAAAAAAAGAAAGAGAAAATCCGCATAGCAAAGAAAATAAACTAATTTTGATAGTGAAAACTAGTCGAATACAGCAACGTATTACCAACCAAAATAATAGAAGGACTGTATTGTGGAATGCCTTCTATAAAGGACCTGAGTAATTGCTTGCCTCGAAAAGGTCGGAAGAAGGCCAGAAAGTAGAAGTTCGTTTCCCGGCTTGCCCTTTAATGCCAGACTGATAACGTTTCTGACAACAATAAATGAGATTTTAAACCAGTTCAAAGGTTATCTGTATCAAACGGTCAGTTGTGTGCTTGAACAGCAGCAGCAGTTAACATATATGAGTGTGGAACAATGTTACGTAGTTATTAGCTGAATTTTGATCTGAAATTTTTATTGTATAATGTCCCATCTATGGAATTAATCGAGCAATATTTGGCTAAGTGCATTGTCAAGGAAGGTGATTTTATTGAGAAATCATTGTTTTGTAAAATAATTTTTATCATTATGCCATAAACTTATTTACTTACGTATAAAATAACCGTACGCGTGGTGGCTGGAGGAGGAGGAGGAGGAGGAGGAGGAGGAGGAGGATGATGATGATGATGATGATGATGATGGTAGTAGTAGTAGTAGTAATAATAATAATAATAATAATAATAATGATAGTAAAAACGAAATCAATAAACGGTTCAAATTCCGGCTAAGACTATTTCGTCCAATTTCATAATAATTATGTTCGTAAGCATATGGATTCACTTCCCTTTGCATTCTGTGTCATTATCAGATATCTTAATAAAATATTTCGTTATTGGCATGCCACAATATCTGATTTGTTGAGTGAACAAAAATAAATAAAGAAATAAGTGGATACTAAGCGTACTTTAAGTCGATATATTCCAAGTACAACATCACAGATTCACGGAGTATAGTCATAGTGTTTCTGATTTGCAAAATGAAATTCATGAGTTAAATTCTCCAAGGAATCCTAAATATTAAGGGAGTGAAATTAAATTTCTCGAAATTTGATAAAATTAAATAAGTGGGGGCGAGGTAACAGATGTAAAAAGAAAATGTTTTTACCAAGATTTTCTGAACAAAAAAACAAAACAAAAACAAAACAAAATCTATAATAATAATACCCAGGGTGGTAGCACCTGTTAGGGGGTCCTATCTATTACCCACCCCCCCCCCGCCACCAAAAAAACCTATGAAAATACAAAAATACATTTGTATACTAAAAATATCAACAACATATTTTTATGTATAAAATTACCATCAATACCTATTTATTGTAAATTTCCAACAATACCTATTTATCTGTAGTTGAAGGCATACAACTGCATTCAAAATATTTAGATTTCGGCATTACATAACACATAGAGGTTGATATGCAGCTAAACAAAATCAACCAATCGTAGTTGGGGAGAGAAAAGTTGGATTCATGCCTTTCCCAAGGATATTTGCGCATAAGTAAATATAAAGAACTTAATGGAAATTGTAACTCTGCTCTCCAATTAACAAAATCCGAGTCATTATCCCTTACATCACCCTCACATTCAGGCTTACAGCATCTGGTGTTCTCAAGCCGTCGCCCAACTTGGTACTGACCAGGTTCGACGTTACTTAACTTTAGTGATCTTATGGGAACCGCTGTTTCAAGAATTTAAATATGCTTTTCTATTAAATTGCAGCTATAATTCACATCATTTTTCCGCTCTTAATTTAAGTCTAAATATTTTAAATTATTTTCCAAGAGACTTCAGGTAATAAATAGATTTCTACAAGAACCAGAAAAGAGCCTTGAACGTTGAGAATCTTTTATCATTTATTCTTGGGAGCGGAAGTGGTTCGGTTTTCATATTTTTCCAGATTTTGGAATACAGGCTATTTAATGTGTCTATATTTCTGAGGTGAGGTATTGTAACTATTTACACTATTTACATTGTTCGGATTATTGACCTCGTTTTTATTGCCATATTGACAACTTTTTGGCCGTTGTACGCTCCGGTCTTCGTTGGAATATCGAACCGAACCCTTCATTTACTTACTAAACGAAAATAACTGAAACTGAGATATCCAGGAAAGGCATGACACGGAGAACTAGAACAATTTACTCCAGTGGACTAATTAAAGGGTTGGGTTCGAAATTCCAACGTACATCACTTGAAGAAGGTCGGAGCTTACAACGGCCGAAACGTCGTGAGAATATGACAATAAAGATGAGGACAACAATCCGAACAATGTAAATAGTGTAAATAGAGTATTTAATTTTTATATAGCATCATTAAAAAGTGGCAGATTGAGAATGGAATCCAAGCATAAACACGATAAACATTTGCATTACATAACATAGCTTTTTTTTGCTTTTTTTTTTTAAACATTCTATTCCAAGCAAGGCGGGAAGCCACTAGCACTCCAGGGGATACAGAGAGTTGGAGCGAGAGCAAAGAGGAGTGATAGAGGAAAGGATGAAGAGAAGGTTAGGGGATAGATCAGGGCATCTGGAGATATCGATTGACATTACATTGGAATAGTTGGGAATTATAGCTATCAGGGAAACAAGAAATGTGGAGGGAGTTCCACATGCGAGAAGTGCGAGATATTAAGCTATTGGCGTAGAAGAGACGGCTACATTTAACAGTTTCGACAGTGAAGGGGTGAGAGCGAGATGCCAGTCTAGTTGAACGCTTAAATTCATGAAGTCTGGAAACCAGCGAAAGCAGCTCCTCGGAGTAGTTACCGTGAAAGTATTTGTAAAAATAGGAAGGAAACAGTGAGAGAGCGGCTGCAGACGAGATGCCAGATCAGGGCCAATTACATTGCATATCCGTCTTTGGATTTTATCAAGGACCTTGAGACAAACAGAATGGGCTCCAGACCATATATGGCAGCAATACTACATGCAAGGGGGACTGGTTGATTTGTAGATTTGAAGGATTGATCCTTTTGCAGCACAGGGAGCCGACTTTCCTTGCAGTGGAAGAAGCTATTGACTCAATGTATTCGTTCCATCTCAGGTCAGCGGACACTGTGAGACCGAGCAGTCGCACAGAGGTGCTCTCGTGGAGTTGAGCGTCAGACATTCTAATGGGAGGCAGGGACGGTTCTCTCTGGTGAGTAATAGAGTTCAGTTTTATTTTTGAGGCATTAAAGTTAGCCAGCCAAAACCTGCCCCAGTCCACAACCGATTGGAGGTACTTTTCAAGACAAACGGCCAGGTTAGTTTTGTTGGTGACACTAGATTTGTTTTTGAGGAAGAACTAAATAGTAGTGTCATTCGCATAGATGCCTACTTGGGAACCTATGACATCAGGAAGATCGTTAATGAAGATAAGGACAGAGTAGGGCCTAGGATAGAGCCTTGGGAAACAGCTGCGTTCGTGGGATAGGAGCTGGAGGAGAATCCGTTGAGAACGACCCTCAATGCACGGTTTAACAGGAATGATTGTATTAAGTCGAACAATCGACCTGTAATTCCATAACCCTGAAGCTTGCGAAGAAGGCCGGCATACCAAACCCTATCAAACGTTTTGGAGATATTTAGAGTCACGGCACGAGCTTTTCCGCTATTATGAAGTGCTTGGTAAACAATTTCAGTTATGGCCGCAAGCACATCAGGTGTAGAACGGGCAAAGCGGAAACTATATTGCTTGTTGGAGAGCAGATCATGGGATGTAAGGTGCATAACCACTTTGGCATTGATTAAAGCTTCAAAGACTTTGTGGAATAGTGGTAGGAGACTGATAGCCGGAGACACATATACGAATGGTCTGGAGATTCAAGAGACAGCTCTCTAGCCAGCGGAAGATGGTCCTTGACGTAAACACCAAGGCCATGCATATGTGTTTGAGAGTCTTTTCTCAGGAGAGGATGGTATCTGGGGATCGAGAGGTCAAAGGAGGGAATAGACGAGTCAAGGTTGGTCTCACAGAGTCAGTGTATCCGGGCAGTTCGCAAAGACGAAAGATTCCACACCGCAGAAGTTGGTTCTAATGTCACGGATGTTAGAAATGAAATGTTAAAGGGTTTAGATGATTTTTTACGGGCTGGTTTAGGATTTCTTTTTGGATCGTTGTTAGTTATCATGATGTATAATTACGGTAGCAAAAAATGAGAAAGCCTGAAGTAGAAGAAGCAGACGGTTATCGACCGCGACGTGGGCAGAGAGAAATTGGCGCAATCTGCAACATAATGTGGCCTCAGGGTTGCCCACCGGAGGTGAATGCAGGGATACCTTTCCATGCGCGACATGGCACTACAGACACCCCGGTATTATACAACTGTTGATCAGAGGGGCCGCTCAAGACGCTACGCAAGAGTTAGGGCTCCTAACTACCAGTCGGAAACAGCAATCAGAAAACTGTCAGCCGTGTACCCTCAGAATGAAGAGGCATTGCCACAGACTGCACACATCACGGGAGAAATATGACAGCCTCCAGTACAGAGGCCATAGAGATAGGAAGGGAAAGTTCCGGGAACCCCTTCCTAAACAAGAAACATAACATATACCCTGAAAATAGTTTTATATAAAATTTAATATTTTTTGTTTACAAATACGTTTAATGACGCTAGTCATGTAATACTCACACGGATTTTTAATTGGTGAAATTAAGATTCCACGTAAAAATAATGTTTTGTACTTTCTATACGTGTACAAAAAAAAAACATGATCACTACTTACAAAAACATATAAATGCAACATCAAAAACTACTTCTACATCAAGTGTGAGAAACTGGAGTGAGAGGGTGCATCATTTTTGACATCACTGTGAGTGTGAGAAGGAAAATACGTTAAGCTATCATTCTCTACCAGTGATGTCGTGTTTTGATTAAAAAGTTACAATATATACCGGTACAGTGTTTGCATAAAAACAAAACATGGATTCTAATTATAGTTAAATATAATGAAAACTGGAAAAAAAAGTCAGTATTTTATTTGAAACCTGCATGTTGCTTTCTGAAATTTTCAATTTGTGGCAAGTCATGTCATCAGCTAAAAAACTTTTGGATTTTGGAATTTCAGATAAATTATACTCAACCTTTATAGAAATTGTCAATAGAAGGTGATGTCATTTAGATTGACGTTTAAATATCGAGATATTGTATAATACAAGTAAAGAGAACAAATAATACTATTTAGTAAAGAGATTAATGGATCAAATATTATTATGGATCAAATATCTTCAGAAAGATATCATTGCTTTGTATTTATGTTATTACTTGTATTTCCTCTCAGACTATTATTTCTCTTTATTGAACGGAATGACGACCTCACTGATTTAACGAGTATGCTAACAAGCAACCCCACCCACTGAAAATAGCACGTTACAGATATCAGACTGAAAACGAAAGCATCTTCAGGAAATACCCAATATTAATCTTGGGTATTAATTGGTTCTTGTCATTTCTTAGAAAGACACGGGGGGGATATGGACAAACTGGAGCAAATAAAATGAGGGAAAAGAAAAAGAAAGGAGCTGAAATAGAGAGAAAGAACGTGGAAAACAATTCGTTGAAAGAAAGGAAAAAGAAAGGCTACATGACGGTTGAGATAAAGAAAAAGAGAAAGAAAAAGAAAAAGAGAATCTTGTTTGATTCATTCATTTTCTGCGGCTTATCAACCCTTTGCAGCTTATTTAAAGCCAGAATTTTTTTTTAGACTGTAAGAGTTTATTTTGGAGAAAATAAAGATTTAGTGATACAAGTTTTTTAATTAACCCATAGCTGGGGAACAAGAGGCGGATTCATAACTTCCCTAAGGGTATTTGTGCATAAGGGAATATAACGAACCCAACTGGAATTGGAACTCTTCTTTACGATTAACAATTCCAAGGTATTATCCATTACATCACCCGCACACACAACTTCTATTTTTAATCAATTCACCCTAAGAAAGGCGATAATGCCACTAACATTCAAGGTGCTACTGGGAGTGAAAGAGAATGAGAAGACTTTTGAAGGAACCAGAAACCCACTTCTAAACAGGAAACAGGAGATTAATCTCCACTTCTGTTCAAAAGAACCGAACTATTGGCGAATCTATTTTACAGCACGTAGTGTTCCCATGGGGTCACCCATCTAGGTACTGACCACGTTCGACGTTGCTTAACTTCGTTGATCGTAGAGGAAACGGTGTTTCAACGTGATTTAGCCATAAGCCCAGGGAAAGAAAGAGAGAGAGAGAGAGAGAGAGAGAGAGAGATAAAGAGAGAGAGAAAGACAGAAAGAGACAGACAGAGGGGTTGATTATAAAAAAAAAAGGAGAATAGATTAAGAGATAAGTAAGAGGGGGATGAAAGCAGTGATACAATAGAAATATTTACTTTAGAAAGAGAAACTGAAAAGAGAGCTAAGCTTTAATAGAGAAAGAGGAACTGAAGATGACAAGAAAACGGTGTAAATCCCAGACAGAGAAAAGGTAAGAAAGATGGCAAAAGTGAGAAAGTTCATATCTTGGAGAGCTTCTTACGTGTGTTTCGGTCAGTTCGTGAGTACAGTTGCCCGACGGCCTTGGCAAGAGGAACGTGCGTGCCGGTCTGAGGGAGTTTACCTGCACTTTGTGACGCTATTGCGTGCGTGTACTTATGCCCAGTTCATGCGTGTGTGAACGAATACTTCTCGACAGCAGATGGCTGCTGCTCACTAGTTGGCACCTTCCGACAACCTTGCAGCCAGCCAGCACCTTGTTACACGCTCAATGAACATTGTACATGAAAGCTTACAAGATATGTATAATTGATCTATGACTTGTAGTGATATGCCAGCATTAACTCGTGGGTGATGTAGTCGCCTCACAAGAAATGATTATGGGTAAGTCGGGTATGTCGGATTTCTGCCATGGTCATTGGGTGGTTATCGTCCCTTGAACTGAATGGAGAATACTCATTGTTACGTGTACGTAACAGTTCTTTTTTTGTCACAACAGATTGTCCCTCTAAAAGTGCACCTATAAAACGTGCAAGATTCAAAATAAAAGATTTTAAAATTACAAATGAAGAGGGAATTTTGAATTCACGAGGCTTGAGAAAAATTGTCTTCGCTACCACAGAAAAGATTATTGCTTTGTTGCTATACAATCCCAAAAGATAATTTCATATTTTATTTACTGAAGATACCTTTGTATTATTATTATTATTATTATTAATATTAATATTATTATTGCCCCCTTTGAATCACAACCAGTGACCTAAGGTCAGAAATGGCATCATGACCTTTTCACTAAACGTTAAAATATATAATTAAACAACTTAAGATCATTCACATTTTATATATTTTGATAAAGCCCTTCGTAAGGCGTGAACTATACTTGTGAGAACGATTTTATTTTGTATTTCTTTAAGACATGGGCTTCCCGGGGTCCCTTCAGTGAGTCTATTCAAACTTTTACCAATCAAACCGAGAGCTCCAATTACAACTGGGATTACTGATGACTTCATGTGGCATATTTTTGAGATTTCGATTTCCTTGTATTTTGATAGTCTTTTTTGAAGATCTTCAAAGATACATTAGTCTGTAGGAACTGCCATATCAATAAAAGTGCATATTCTGTTTTTGTAGTCTTTGATCACCATCTGTGGGCCTAATTATTATGATTATTTTATTTCTTTTGATTTCTAGTGTATACTCATTTCTTTCCAGGTCCCGACTAAAGACATAAGGTCGGAAATGGCATCATGACATTTTCCACTGAGCATTTTTTGAAAAAAAGAAACAAAACAAAACAAACAAAATAAGCAGAAAACTAAGACCACACACATTTCACATAGATAAAACCCTTCGTAGGGTGTAAGCTGTACTTGGGAGTACAATTATTTGTATTTCTTTAAGGCTTGGGCTACCAGTGGTTACTTCAGTGGGTTAATCGAAACCTTTTCCAATCAAACAGAGGTCTCCAAATACAACTGGAATTGGTGATGTCCTCACGTGCCACAATTTTTAGATTTCGCTTTTAAGATTCTTGTGCTTTGACAATTTTTTTAAAGATCTTCAAAGCTGCTATTATTATTATTATTATTGTGCGAGAAAGCTGAATGGAAACAAAGTAATGCTGGTGTACGAATATAAGACCCTCTCTGATACGATTATATCAAGCACAAGAATCACAGCCTAATGTCCGTGATATGGTGGGAGGGTTTTTATATAAGCAACACACAATCTTGCAGGTAAGAACCATATACATTTGTTATATAACTGATGTCTCTTTGTCCCAGTGGAACAAAAAGTAAAAATGAAAGGTGGAAATCGACAAAATATATAGACTGGTGAAGTACTCGAGATATTATGGTGTACGAACTTGGTAATTGTACCACATTTTTGGTTATTAGGAATTAACTCTAACCCACATGAAGGGGCATCATACATATAAAAGAAAAAGACTATTTTCCCACAAGTGGTTCAGAATTTTACTGCTAGTTTAATAATGTTAATTTCTCACATGATCCACGATGTTTGGAGTTAGTAAGTTAGTTGCTTTTTACTTTTCGTTTTTTTATGGATATTTATTAAATCTATCTTAGTATCGCAGTATTCCAAGTGGAAAGAAGATTGTGTCTGCCAATTTCTCATAAAATGAGGCTCGTCTACTTTGAAATACGTCTTAGAAATTCTGTTGTTTTTTTTGTTATTCATTTTTTTTTTATATCTGGGTTCGAATATCAATTGCTGAAGCTGGCGAGTAATGTACAGCTATCTTAGCTTCAAGATAAATAACGTAAAAATTTATAATAATTATTACTTCGTCTTCTGCCCGTTACATCCATTAACAATCCCATATAATATTTGGCATATCTTATCTTTATTGATAGTTATTCGGTCATATGCTTGGTTCAGTGAATCTTTTTATATCTGAAATCCATAAAATAACTCGTTTTTCTTGTTTCAGGAGTGATATTTTTCTGGCTTTGTGGAACTGATTTAGTTGTTTGTGATATATATATATATATATATATATATATATATATATATAATTAAATTTTGCTGTATTTTAAAGCTACTTTAAATTGACTGGAAGGAGTTTTGTTCTGAAACCGCTAAAATCGCTGATTTTACATCCATTTTAGCCATCTGTCATCACAATGTATTTCTCTTTTTAAAAAATCTTTCAAAAGTAAAATATACTCTTTTGAAACTTTATTTGAGGAATATTAGTTGATTTAAAGTTTAATCTAATTTTAAACAAATATTATTCTAAGTTTAAAATATCGCAGAGATACATTTTTAACACAGAGCTACGTTTTTATTTAAAGCGTTGGCAGGTTCACTTCTTAACTGACAGACGGAAGTTTATCTAATCTTTTTCTACCGTTGATATATCTGTAAACATTATTTGAGGAATATAATGTGAAAGCATTTTATATAATCTTTAACTACCCAGTAATCATTAAAATTTAGGAAAATATTCTTTGTAATCTATTGTTTTATTGAATTTGGATTAAAATTTACCATAGTAACTGGGGGTAATGTTTTATGAAAAAAAAAATTATGATTTACTTTCTCAAGGGAGTTCTGCGGGTAACTAATGTAGACATTAAGTGGTACAAAAATAGTTTCTCGAAATTTCGTAAAATTAAATAAATGTGTGACGTGGGATTCTAAAATATTTTCATTCATTTGCGAATAGGTCCAGAAAGTTTAGAATCCAACAGTTATTCGATTTTTGCAATATTTTCCCAATTAATGTGTTTTACACTGCAAGAAAACGCCAAAATTTCTTATACTAACCTTTCATCCCACACGTTGATTAAAGAAAAACAAGATCTTCAACCAAAATTTCGAACGACCCAAAAAGGATAAAGAAAATATAATTTAATAATATAAAAATACACTGGTCTTTCTTCTTAATAATAACATAAAGATGTTGACGATAAAACTTTGCTTTTATTAATTTGGGGCGATTTTTTCATCGTGGTATACTCATTTTTTAGCGAATCTATGGAGATACCTAGTTTTAACTGATTTTTATTTTTAAATAAAAAATAATTTGTTGATTATTAAAGTAAAAATTTACTATTTTGTTAAATTATTAGATTTTTAGGCAAATATAGTAATGCTTATATTAGCTGTTTCCTTATAAGGAAACATTTGGCATTCTTTGACCGAAGGTGTCTGTGTTACTGTCGGCTGAAATTTATAAAATCTTTCTCTCAAAGCAATTTCTCATGAAAATAGGTTTCTCAAGAAAGTAATTGTTATTTTGCCCTCCCCAGAATTGATGCGACTTTCCTTCCTAACGTTTTATTTAAAATAGTGCAGAATGTCAACATCTTGATGTCATTATTTTCCCTTCGAGATACATTTGCTATCCATTTTACTTGTTGCTGCTGTTGGTAGTCCTCAAGTGATGTCGTTTCTGTTATTTGGCACAGTTGTTTTGTTTGGGAATTCTGTAGTGCGAGTTCATAAGTTTCGAAGATGGATGTTCCTAGCTGAGACCTATATGTTTCTGTTGCAAATATTGGTTGGAATCGCACACAAAAAAGGAAAGGTAGTACAAGTCCAATAGGTTCACTAAGCAAAACAAATCCACACTTCTTGCCTCAATCTCCAATACACCACTCACCGTCCCCAAACAACCAGCTGAATAAGCGTACTATGTTTTTATACATCTGCCCCAGCCAATACTCAGCCAATGAGCGTCCCAGAACCAGCCAATAAAAATTCCTACAAGTGACACCACTACCTCCATCAGCACGAAGTCCGATGAACCGTCCGTCCGAATCTCGCCGATTCGCCATCTTCACACTCCCTTGCAAAACATACACGCGACTCTGGCCCTTTTTGGGTCGCCGAGGTAAGTAACCGCTACAGTTTCATTCGATGAAAGCCATTTTTAAGAGTTGATCTGAGAAAGTGGTTGTGTACAGCTGACACTATAGATATTTCTGAACGTGTTCGGTGCTATGTGTGGCATCCATATGAAAGTCTCGATCTAACTAGCCTATTTAAGTACATGGCTCAAGTTTTCAGGTTGATGTTTTGTTTTTATTTTTGTGACAATTTGTGGCATTGGGCAAAACTACATCTGTCGCAACCTATTCTATGTTCAATTACCTTCCCTCCTATATTAAATTTGTTATAATTGATCCGTACACCGAGGTATTTGAAGTGTTTGCTATTTACCAAATAATTTTTAAATTTTACATTTATTCGAGATCA